AAGACAGAAAACAGAGAGAATAAACGGAGAAGGCAGAGGAGGTGAAAGAAAGAGGAAAAAGAGCTGAAAAAACGGAAAAGGAGAAGGCAGAGATAGAGGAGAAAACGAAAAAAAAAAAAGGATCGGAGAGAAATTTTTGAGTGTCCGAATTTAGGCATGTAATTTCTCCCCTCTTTTGTAATCTTGAATACTCAATAAAATTTCATGAAATTTTTGCCTTGTGGTTGTTGAATCTGATGATGTTGTGAAGCTGGGAATCCACTATGTATATTGTTGTTCTTGGAATTCTTTTTTGTGCTGTGATTTTACGTGTATTAGGTTCTGTATTCATTTTTTCTGTGATTTTCTTCATTTTTTTTTTCCAAAATTTTTTTCAGTTCGCCGGGATCTGGGAAATTCAGCCGGCGTCCTGCGCTCCTCTTTTCGGTTTTTTTTTTCTCATTGTTTTTTTGTCTCTCTTTTCATTTTTACTCTTTAGTTACGTTGGGTTTGTTATTTTGTGTTTTGAGGCCGCAAAGAAAAATTGAAAGAGATGATGAAATGGGCCAAAGCCCGAAACCAATTTTTGACCCAACAATATAAAAAAAAAAAAAGAAAAAGAAATGTTTATCTATCAGAGTGTAATAACGGCTTGCCAATTATCTATTAAGTTAATTAGGATTTAATTAAAACAGTCAATTATCTTTAATTAATTTTAATTAATTTGATTAATTATTCTAATGAATTAATTTTCTTCAATCACCTTTCAATCTCAATTTAAGTCATTAATAGGTGGTTCAAACTCTACGAAATCAGTTTTTAGTCAAATATTTTAGTCCAATTATTCCATTTTTAACTCTATATATTGAACATTTGATTGGGTCAAAATTTTCAAAATAAATAAAATTCCTGTCAAAATTTCCAATTTTCGTATTTAAACCCCAAATGTTTCTAACCGTTTAAGTTTACATTTTAATCTTTGTAAATAAATTCATCATCTTTCATAAAATTTCAATTTCACTAATCATTTTTTAAATTGAGTTAAATAAGACCCAGCATAAAATAAATTGAGTTAAAATCTCAAAATCGAGAGTATGCAACTGGGTTTTATTAGGAGGTTATGGGGTGTCTGTTTTTTTTTTATCAGCAGTTATGGGGTGTCTGTATGCACTTTCCTATGCCTAAACATCCCTTGAACTTTAATTTTTGTGTAGAACATTTTTTATAACTTATTATCCTTTATAATTTAGATTAGTGATGGCTCCAAAAATTTTCAAAATTTTATGCTTAATTTTTCAATTTCATATATTTTAAAAATCTCTTAAAATCTTAGGCGATCGTCAACATTATGGTTAGTGATTTTAATAAGAGTAAAGACTATTTCAGATTCAAATAAAAGATTAGGTCAATGTTTAGTATTTCTTCTAAAGGTTAAAGACTAAATTTGATGATGATGATTTAGGAGATAAAAAAAGATTTAGTTACCTTTGAGTGCAAGGTAATTCATGGTTGGCTACCTTTTCTGTGGTGAAAGATTTACTAACCTAATTAGCATAATTCCTAACCTGATTTGGGTAGATGGATCCCTTTATAAATTTTTAGTTTTGAAGACCAAAAGTATTCATCAAATAATTTCTTGCACACAAAAGAAATACAACGACCCCAACTTCCTAAAGAAAAAATATGGAGAAGCTTTCGTTCAAATTGGTTTTCTTAGGTGCACTATTGATGTTTTTACTTGGTAAGCAGCATTTTTGCTATGCATTTTTCGTAACACATTTTCTTTAAATACATGATATTTTTGAGTTTTCGGTTAAAAGACTGATACAAACATCCTCTAATTCAATATTCTTTATAATACACTTATTAAAAAATTATTATTTTTTAATTTAAATTAAAAGCAAGAAAACTTAGGTATTGTTTGGATTGGAGGTGTCGGACGGAGAGGGAGGGGAAGGGATGGGGACGGATGGCAAGGGAGGGGGAGTGAGGGGAGGCTGTCTCCTTCCTCCTGTTTGGGTTTCCAAAGAGGTAGAGGGAGAGGGAGATGGACTGATTCGGACTCCCTTCAACCCCCTCAAATCTGCAGATTTGCAATCCGTCCAATTTGGGGGGTTTAGGAGGGATTTGAGTGACTATTTACATTAGGTTAAATGTAATTACAAAATTAACCTTAATTTTTTTATTATATCCTTCTCCATTACAAGTTTAAAGGGTAAATTTGTAAATTTAAAATTAATTTAAATCATTCCCTTCCTTTCCTTCCTTTTACCTTAATTATCCAAATATAAAATAATACAATTCTTCTCTTTCCTTCCCCT